CGCACTTTCATCTCAAGACCTATAAAAGCTGCGGGGCTGAGATTTCGGGAAGTTAATCTACATGCACATACCGGCCCCAATCCCCGAAATGTGCGCCAAAACCCGCGTGGTACCCGCGTACGGGCCTGCCAAAGCTCCTTTCGGGTAAGTTCATAACTCGAGGATCTGAGAAGCTAGAACGTTGAAATCCTAGGAGGATGTTCCCCGTCCAAGTAGGTGTTAATGCACTAAAACCCATCTCCCGAGTAAGCGTAACACCCGCGCACGAGCCCGCCAAAATTTTTTTCGGGTAAGTTCATAACTCAGGGATCTGAGAAGCTAGAACGCTGAAAACTTAGGGGAATGCTCCTCGTCCAACTAGGTATTAGTGCACTCAAACCCACCACCCGGGTTAGTGTGGTACCCGCATACGGGCCTGCTAAAATTTTTTTCGGGTAAGTTCATAACTCGGGGATTTGAGAAGCTGAAGGTCTGTAATTTTAAGAGGATATATCCCGCCCGCCTAAGTTTCATTCATCTCAAACCCATCTTTCGGGTATGCGTGGCAAACACGCACGGGCCGTAAAAATTTTTCAAGTAAGTTGCTAATTCAGTAGCCAGGGAAGCTAGAAAGCTGAAATTTTAAGAGGGGGTTTCCTGACAGTTGTGGCGGCCAGTCTTAATTTGTTTAGCTAGAAGCATTTGCCGAAAAATCCGGTGCCGGTAGCAACAAAAACTGCGGGTGCAAAAAACGCATCTTCGCACAGCCCGTGCGTTGGCCAATTATTTCCTGTTTTTGTAACTTTGTTAGTTATCACATTTCATATTAGTAAGCTATTGCTTTCAGGTGACAAACATACGAACTTAATCCTTAGACCTGTACGAATCCGTAAAACTGCTTGAATCAATGACACATGTTATAAGTTTGCAAGGAAAACCTCATAAACGACAGGAACGAAAAGGAGAGCACTTCCCCACATAATTTGGTGGCTCAGCTCGTGTGTATTTGGATCGTCTCTGAACTCAAAAAATACTGGTCGTGCTACTGTCGCTCCATTCAAAGACGCTTCGAACATCAAGCTGAACAAAACACATTGTGATTCGTGGCTACTATATAACTCAAAAACCTTTTCTTAAGGCTTAAAAGTGACCAGAGCTTTCTAAACAGATGACGGAATCGATGCAATGTAATCTGAAAGCGAAAGCATTATGCGGCTCTTCGTTCCTAATTCTCCAATAGACA